ATAAGGGGGAAATTCAACTTATAGAATGTTACCCTTTAAACCGGTTGGCTGTTGGAAGCGAAGATAGGTCCTCTAGTCTAGATTTTTCCCTTTCGTCTCTTATTTTTTTTGGTTAAAAGTTGATTTTGATCATTCAGGGCAATCATTTGTTTTAGATTTTTTCAGTAGTTTATGTCTATCTAAGCATAAGAAAATATCTACGAGTATATACTCCATATAGGTTGTTCCTTATGTGCCCATTACTCTGCAGAAATAATCTGACCGCACATTTTCGTCCCTGGAAGGTAGATAAATAGTTATAAATAGATGAGTAGAAAGATAGATAGATAGATAGATAGATAGATAGATAGATAGATAGATAGATAGATTTGAACAAAATAGGAATAATCAGTCTCTAGCTTGAACAAAATATATTTTGTCTTGTAGATATAATATTCTCATAGAGTTCACATTACAGAATAAAAAAAAAACCTGATAAAAATACTCGCATCGCACGATCATTTATAGATTCTGAATGTTAATATCGAATAAAAACCAATACAATCGTGAATCATAAAGACGACGGTGCTGGGTAAAGGCGAGTAATACCGCGTGGGAGTTTTACTATACTTTACAAAATGACAAGTAACTCCAAATTTTTTTTATCATCATATTCTGTCATATTCATAGAATAAACATCCTGTTGGAAACATGAATCCCGCATAAATTTATAACCATCTCATCTACAATCCTGATTCCATCTCACAAACATCATGTTTATTATTAGGGTTGCAATTTACCTGTTATGCTGAAAATGTAGCCCGCAGCGCACAACTTTTAATTAAAGTGTCACTTGTGCTTTTACTTGGCATTTCATAGACCTGATACAAACTAATAACCTTAAGCTATTGTTTATGGTAGTCGTTACTTCCTTTAGTCCCTCATCCATTACAACACAGGCAGCCACAATATCGAACATAATATACTTCTGAGCTTTATACATCAGGCTGCATTTAGATAGGCGTACATCATGTCCAATATATATATGTACACACACACACACATATATATATATGCCTAGATAGGAAAAATATTTTCTAGAGATATTCACAAGGGTTGCCTTGATAAGAATGAAAGAAAGAGAAAGAAGGGGAAAAAGAAAGAAAGAAGAGGGGGAAAAAGAAAGAAAGAATGAAAGAAGAGAGCAGACAGAACAATAGCTGCCAGTTTTGTAGTCAGCCATTCCACCATGCTTTTAGTGTGTATTGATGTTTTCCAGTAATGGCTGTAGTAGAATGGTACCTTACATTATAAGTGATCACTTATGCTGGTTGACCTATGCTTTGCTGCTAAACCACGTTAAGAGTAAAGATTTCAGTGCTGACTGCAACGTTTGCTGTAGAGACAGCTGGGGAGTCAGAGCACTTGAATTTGACCAATGTCAATTTCCTGACCATCATAAAACCTTGAATAGAGCAGCAGTCTGGGATTTTCTTTAGGCTCCCCCAGCCCCCAAAGACAAAGTAACCCAGCTATAGCCCAAGTGCACACTGGAGACACACAGGCATATAAAATCGAATGTTTAGCCACCATAGCCTTCTCCCTATTGTGCCCTGGGAATTTCATCGTTTAAGTACCTTGAAAGGAAAAAATAAGATATTGTGACAGTGTTCTGGTCTATTCCTCTGAGCACGCAGTTTAGCACTGTTTGCTTTTGGTATCCTCAAAGTATCGTCTGATTAATTTGTGTAGACACAATGGTAAAGATTCAGGTAAAGACATTAAGAATACCACGATATACTAATGAATACTAGGCAAATATAATGTGCTGTTTTGTTTGTATAGATTCATTTAAAAAATATTTTTCTGCAAGATCTGTCTATCTATGTATCTATCTAATCTATGTATCTATGTACGAACTCCTTGAAGGATCAAAATATCCTCTCGCAGTATAACACAGTCAAAGAA